GGTCAGGTGAGAACACTTTACGGATCAACGAAATCGTTGATATTGGTCTTAGCCAATTGGTAAGGTCCTTGAGATGCCAGAATTCAGTGGCCGTATTCATTGAATATCCTCCTCCAGATTCCGAAATTATTCACTAATCCTCATTTAATTCTTTTATTTCCCATGCATCTCTTTTAATGACAGTTTCATCAAATTGTTTTCTCTTCTTTGTTGTGTAACAATTTCAAATGACACATTTCTAAGGAGTTAATTTCTAAGATCTTGATTTATTTTAAATTTGACTGTGGATTAATATCAATTGGAGAACTGATAAAAACCAGGCAGTACTAAACGTCCATGTCGTTCTAGTCTGAGACTTTTCAGCAAATCAAATCCCTACAGGACGAAGCTTCTTGGAGTCCCGCTTAGATTTCATGATCCGTGAGGTCCACCAGGCCGTTTGCGAGGGAATATATTCACCTATGTCACTGAATGCTGGTGGCGCTTAAATGGCTAACTGATTGAGGTTAGAATTCATGGGCCGTTGGATGCTGTTCCAAGTGGCTGATTGATCAACCTGAAGGTGCTGGTTTCTCCCCTACTAGAGTCATGAGTGTGAGCGGCTAGAAAGTCCTAAACTAAGACGACACTGCTGTTCAGCAATCCCTCGTTTTCGATAGTTCTGTAATTGATGCAAATCCTAATCGAATTTGATGCATTTTTTTGCGAAATTATTAAGTGATACGTCAGTCATCAGAATATCAAGAGTAATACTACAGATGTTCATTAGGCCTTAAAAAACCTTCTTTTGGCTGGTAGTAAATCATTCCAAGGGTAAATGTGACACTCAAAAGGATGCCTATTAAAATAACTTCACTTACGTAATCGCTTATTAACTGTCTATGTAACTGTATCCGACTTGCCGAGTCCCTTATGTCTTCAATGATGAATTCTGTCGGGACACCGATACATTCGGTAGAAAAAAATGACAATCAGAAGAAAGCCTATTGAATTCACTTTCTAACAGTACTGTGAGTTGTGACACTATCTACTTCTATTCCCAATTGTCTGATATACGGATCTTACATTACGTTTTTACTCACCAAAATACGTACTCTCTCACAATAATAAATCAGATTTATGAAATCAAATTATTCAAATGATAAATAATATTTGTTCTACTCCAGGAAGTAAAAGTATTCCAATGAAAACAAGTAAATAAAATCAATGAAGCAGAAATACGTAAATGAGTTAATGCAGATTTAATTAAATGTGATGTGATGCTAGCCAGCTAGCAGTTTGTTATGTGCCTAGAAAATAACCGTTGATAAATCCGTCCCCCCCAAAAAATCAAGTGTGGTATTTTTCACTATTTAAGAACCATTCCGACTTTATTGTAGTATAGAATATTTATAATGATAATTAAGCATAAAGGAAAAAGTAGCGAATAAAGATTAGAAAAGGTATAAATGACAAATCTGTTAATACATTCGGCACTGACCTTCGCTTTGATAAATGAGGCAGGCCGCAGATCTGCGCCTTAGTGCTTTAAATTTAGACATGTAATCTAGTGGGTCGCAGAGCTTTAGGAGGGGGATGTAAAGCACTTTTCTGTCTATGGATTACATCTAATGGTGAAAGTGTTTAGTCAGTCGGCTTCATTTATGCTATTATCACAAATTGGGATCCTACAACTTTATAACAATATCTACTTAACGACAGTTATTTCAGAATCGTTTCTTACATCCTTTGCTTTATTATCGCACTTTTCCACATTATGAAGTCAGCAGGATTTTTTACACTAAGTAAATCTCAGACATGTAGTATACATGTGAAACAGAGACTATATGCTACGTTTTTCCGTCCACCAGGATTACGACAGATGAAAGTGAAGAATCTTGGGGAATCATGTATACATTGTTCATGACATGCTTATATTAGGAACAACCCGTTTCCAGACTCTTCAGGTCAACTTATTTTGTACACAGGGTATATTGATGAAAAGAAACTTTTTGGAGTAGAAATGTTGGTCTCTGAAATTACCAGAGTATTAAATATTCAATATGTGTAAGGTTCAGCCAGTTTGATTTTGATAACAAAATGAAATTGGCTACACTGCTGATGTCATGCTATTTCAAGCGCTTAGTTTGCGGCCGGAAACCATCAAATATGATCCAGTTTATTTACAAGTAAGAATATAAAATGCATAAATAACATCTCCACTGTTAGATTGCTGAACAAAATTACTAAAGAAGTAGGAGAAACCACAGTTTTAGTCAGCTTGTATTTTATCCTCTTTTGCAGGCCTTATCAAATATTGAAGTAACTGAGACCAAAGAAAGCTTAATAGTTGGCTCAATACTCAGGTGTAATCTCCGTAGCATGATGGTGTAAACTGTTGATTGATACAAGTGCTTGTTGATGAGATCAAGTTGGTCCTTACCCAGGACAGTTGTTTGGCTTGTTTGGGGCTGAGCTCACCACCAGTACGCCTTCGATCTGAATACTTTTGGTTTCCAAATGAAACCGTAGTGAATTCTCATCTCAACTTTGTAACTTGAAAATGACAAATCAGATTCTAAGTGATCTGACAAAATTGTCATTTCGGTCAATCTACCCACTAATAGTCTACGTATACAGCGTGTCAGGTTGACATTACCTAAAGCCAATATAGTTAAGTTCGGGAAAAAAGTTTTCTATAGCTCAGTAATTCATCGGATGAACGGGGATAACATGAATACAAACGTAACTCATCCGTGATGTCAGATACTTTAAAATTTTTGATCATAATTAAAATCAACTAATAAGGACCTCTAAAAAACATCAACGATAATTATGGTTACTCTGGGTTGATTAATTAGAAATACAGTGGAAATTACCATTTAGAAAACAAAAGAAATGAGCACAGAAAACTCTTTTGCATAATTTCTTTATCTGGCCTACTGCAGGTATATATATATATATATATGCGGTACTAAAAAAGTAATTCCTGTTGAGAACATCGATTTCCTTTAAGTGACATCAAATTGCTTAAATCAGTGGGCTACAGTTCAAAAACATGTTTAATTGCTAATATAAAAAATATAATAATATTAAATTAAATATTAGATAATAATTTTAAAGGAAATTTATGCGAAAGATAATTAAAAATTTAAAAGCTTGGAAAAGACTTAGAGGGCAAAAGAAATCGTCAGAGTTTAAAAATTGAATAATGATGATTAAGGCAAAGAAAGAGTTTGTATGAACTTCTTTTGAACGAACATATAATTTTGGCTGCTTCTGATGCCTTTCGATGACTTCACTTATATTTCAAAGACAAACTAGTGAGACAAGATTGAGATTACCTACTCGGGATATGGTAAGTAAGTTTAACATCAATTCTATGTTCAAAATCTACAAGGTGAAATTCAACAAAGTTAGGAATAAACCCTGGCAGTGCCTTACTTAACCGCGCAAGACAATGTTTAGAAATGTGTTGATCAACATGCTTAATGGCTGGTTCATTTTAACTGGCTCTATAGGAGCGGTCGAACTAACAGATACATGTAGAAGAAGCGAAATTAGGTAGCTTATTCTTGCATCTCAAACGTAAAACTGTAGTGGTTTTAAACAGAAGGTACTGTTACTGTTACACTGAATACTACTTTTGTAACAACAGAAGATAAGGGCCAGACAACAGATCGTTTATTTAGGATATCAACAGATATTTATAGATTTTCATGTACATTATTATAGATTATTGTTAGCAGGAAAACATAGTCTTCTGATTGGTTGTTACTCACTGAAAGTAAATCTTTCATTTCTTTGGGCAGTTTATGAATGTCAGATTATCTATCTGCAAATAGTATCCGCCTACACAAAATCTACTGTGATTGATTGTTGAAACAGTCTTTGTTCATATTTTTCTCATGACCAATATTGGGGACGTAAACATTGATGTAAATTACTGTCTACCAATTTGGCTAACAGCCAGCTCTCACCACACTCTTACTAAGTAACTGCAGTTTCATCAACAATGGCTACTTCGAAGCTGTCACTATATTGACTTACCTTGATGCTAAATTCATATTTGCATTAATAAACCTTTCTGGTTGCCCATTTTTACTGAGGAATTCTCTAATAATCATGAACTCTTCATTAAGAAAGTAGTTTGAGCAGATTGTTTAACATTATAAACCAAAAAAGGTTACCAAACTGCTTTCAAATTTCAAAGGTACAAAGTCAGAAAAATGAGTATACTGACTATATATAATCCTCTTCTATAGTCATAAGGATGTGTAGGGATGTCATTCATCAGGTATTGCTGTATTGCTCAAAGTTGGATTTTTTGGTGCTGTTGTGTTTTATGGACTAAGAAATTAAATTGTGAAGGTCTGAATTGTCTTTTTAGACAATAAATAATTCATAAATCTCTCCATCATTTCACAGTTAATTTTCTAGAGTTTGTTTTGTAAAAGTTAATTTTGTTTTCTACGAGTTGATCACGGATTGATATCAGTTAGACCACCACTGAAAACCAGCACTGGAGTACTGGACAGCCGTTTCATTCTTGTGTGGGAATCATCGGAAGTACGCACCCATCAACAAGGTAAGAACCTAGCACCTTCCGGTTACAAGGCAGGCAAGCTCGCATACCATTCATCCACTGGGACCCGATTCATGACTCACGAATTCTAACGGGGTCGCGCTAAATCACGAATCGGTCGAAGTTGGAATCCATGAGCCATTGAATTTGGTCCCAGTGGATGAATGGTATACGAGCTCGCCTGCCTTGTAACCGGAAGGTGCTAGGTTCTTACCTTGTTGATGGGTGCGTACTTCCGATGATTCCCACACAAGAATGAAACGGCTGTCCAGTATTCCAGTGTTGGTGTCATCAATGGTTTTCTGACTGATATCAGTCCGTGATCCACTAGTAAAAAACAATTTCACAGTCAAGTTAAATAAACACGCTAACGTCAAAGAGAGGTTGTCACTTCTCACTTTAACCATTTTGTATTTAATTTACTTTCTATCAACAGTTACAAATGAATACAGTCTATGGGATTTTTCTGGATTCCAGTCATACTATTGCTTTTATGATCATTTTATCGGTGACATTAATTGTATACACTTAGTACTGTTCAATTTAATGGACACGTTAGAATGGAGACGTAAAAGTGTACGATTTTGGCTTGATTTTTTGCATGCACGAATTCCTGTCACTGGTCCTCTGTGTAAGTGATTCTAATTCTTATGAAAATCCTCTTGCTAATGATGTCTAATTTTTTTATTTCTTTTTTATTACAGCTTGATTCCACACGTATTTTTGGTACAAGTATGGAATTTCAGCATGGATATCGGTAGCCCAAATTTTGCAGGCCGACCATGTGCGTCGGTGGCACAGTGGTTAGGACTCTCGCCGACCATGCTTATGGTCCGAGGTTCGATACCCTGCCGACGCACACCTGATACCTATGGTAGGCCTGCAAAATTTAGGCTACCGATATCACATGTGTGCATCGGCAGGGTGTCGAACCTCGGACCATGAGCATGGTCGGCGAGAGTCCTAACCACTGTGCCACTGACGCATAGATAAATCCCTTCATTATTTGTCAGTATTCCGCTAGATAAAATTAGTACAACATTCACATGACACACCTTGCAGTTTTTCACACATTGTATAAAAAGGCCTATTATTTATCTTGACGATACATGCTCATTACTATAACTAGCTACTCAGAGTATTGTGATGCTCATTAACTTTAATATATAGTAATAATTAATTAGTCTGATTGAATTATGTATGTATAATCTCCTTTCATTATCTGTTACAAATCATTATAGTCAGCTGACTAGGATAATTATAAAGCCAGTAACAAACCAATCATTGAGCTTTCTAGTTTTAAACTTTTTACACAGCTTATATCATATAGTCTCTTCGAGGTGGAGAAGGAGATTATTTGTCAATCAAAGTTAGAGAATAAAAATTATCAATAAGTTCGATTACCGAGTTTTTGAAGTCCTAATTTTAACTATGCACGAAGATATTTCACTAAGTCTATGTCGTATCGAAATGTGACTAATTTATTAGATACACAGGTTACATGATATTGTGAACAACAATCTTGTGTCTGGCAGAAATGTATAAGTAAGTAACCCAAACGATGTGCTTCTGTTTCCTTTTCTAATGGAAGTCAAAGTATCATTATGCCATTTCATTCAAGTCCAACAAATACGGCTGATTTTGATTGGACATTAGTAACTAGTTTCCAATCAAAATACCCACTAAAGTCCTATAGGAGGTCAATCGCTACCCCGAAAACCTCAGTGGTAAGGTCTCTGGGTGAGGTGGGTTCGATCTCAGAAGTTCCTTCAAGGTCGCAGATACGCCTTGCTGAGGAGTGGCAACTAGCATGAATCTTAGGTTCAAGGCGTCTTGCCGATTGCCTCCAACTATCTAATATGATTAAATACGGCTGATTTTAGGAGAAATTAGTTAGGAAGGATATTTTGACCTAGGTTCTGAGTCTATAGCAAATTATTAACCATCTGAACTTATTATTTTTAGAGGACCATATGCTGCACTTATATTTCAAAATTGTGGTATCCAGTGACGGGAGAAGTGCCTCACGTATAAGGGCAAAAATTTAAACACACTGATTAACGTCTAACAGTGTAAAATTTCACTGCACAACAGTGTTTTACAACTTAGAATAACAATTTTGATAAAGCAGTAAGAAGACGTAATTTGTCTGAATCGTGTAATGTTGTATTTGCGCTCACAACACATTTTGAACAGTCTGACCGCACACGGATTTGTCATAGGAATATATATATATGATTTACCAATTTGAATGTACGTGTGAACACACATACATAAGGAGGACTCATCGATCTCTGCAAGTAAGGGCTTCAGAGCATATTTCTAAGTGGCTCCAGAAACCAATGAAATCTTCAGAACCCATCAATGGTGAGAACAGGAGGAGACCTATCTCCTCTATTGCGAAACATATTATAGAGACAGGACATAAAATTGACATTAACACATCTTTTAAACCTGTCTATAAAACGTGTTTGGGGCGTACCCTAAAGTTTGTGGAAGCTCTAGCTGGCAATTAGGAAGTTTAAGCCACCTTTATGCGTTCGAAGCAACAATTCGTCATCACATTGAACCTTCCTTGGTAAATTTTGTTTCGATACCATAGCAGATGTACTATTACCTTGAATATGTCCTTTTAACTTGACCTAAGTCTATTTCCTCACCTCTTAACTCTTTCTTCATTAATTTCATGTATATTACTATGACAAGTCCGTGTGTGGTCAGATTGTTCAAAATTGTACTTTATTTGTTCAAAATGTGTTGTGAGCGCAAATACAACATGATACGGCTCAGACAAATTACGTCTTCTTATTGCTTTATCTAAATTCATAAAGGGAACTAATTGTTTTAAATACCAATTTTATTCCACACATTACTGATAGATTTTGATCAATACGCTAGAGATCAGATACCATATCTGATTACCATCATATTCATAGTAATAATAATAATAATAATAATATTCATAATAATCATCGTGACAAGTAAAGTTTTTAAGGATTAAACTACTTATGACAAGTAAGTAGCCAACAGTGACTGGTGAAAAAACATGTCTTGTCCGCAATTCCATTTCTATGATAATTCGACTATCGTAGCGTAGATTGAATGAATGACCACTACGAAGAGAAAATCCGTGTGTCAGTTTTTTATTTTGATATCGACTAACATACTTTGAGTAGAATAAGAATAAATGGGAGTCGATCGTATTATCATTACGAGGAAAGAAGATGCAGAGTACTGAATTAATTTTTATCAATGAACAGTCGAACAAAGTCTTTACTCCGTCACTATTGCTCATACGACCAGTACATCAGATCAGTTCATACTTTGACATTTAAGCCCATTTTCTAGTTCTAACTGGGCCGTGAAAATCTAAACGTAACAAAAAACTGTATTCAGAATATAACCTTGTGGTAACTTACAAGAACTATAAATGTTCATTAACTAAAGGATTGATAATTTTTTTTGGCGAATAAAGAAGTTACCGATAAATGCCACCAACAGTTCGACGCAGACCAACAGAAATTAATCCCTCAGATAGTGTTTTCATGGCTGCGAAAAGAAGATAAGTATAAGTCGAATAGTGTAAGATTTATTAGGAGAAACTACAGCGGTTCCTCTGTTTATTTTACCTGACCAAACATTTCAAAGTAAAATACGATAAATTTTATTCTCTCACATTGATTTACAATGTTATAAGAAATCATGAGTTGCACTAAATTTCATCCGTATGAAGCATGAATAATTACTGCATTATAGAAAACATCCCTCTGTTCATCAGTGGGAATGAAATTTACGCTAGACATACGTTACCTTTGACTTCATACATTTATTCCCCTTAATGAATTTGAACAAAGCATGAACTACAGTTTTAGCAGAATAAAATGGTACCATCTTTTATTTCGTTGCCTTCTCGTCAGCTGCTTACATGGCAAAGTCATTATTAAATATATCTACAACAACAATTTTAACATACTTGCACAGAGTTCAGTTTAAACAAAAATCAATCGATCAATATACTCATACACTAAAAATATATACATATATAAATATGCAATATTAACAACTATTCCGAACAATAATAATCAAACACAATGGAAACTTTTAGCACTTCTCATTCGGATGAAAGAGAGATGAAAAATATCCAGTTACCAGACAGGACAAAGAAAGACTGATAACAGCTTCTTTCTGGACGCATAAATCAGGTTTCAGAAGCTTGATGGAAATGGCTTCAGCAAACTTAAGGAGAATTGAGCTCTTTTGTCTATTGATAATTTTGAACGACTTTTCGACGTCCATCTCATGACCCTTGTCGAGGAGATACCTGGCGATGGCACTGTTTAAAGCATTTGTTCCCTTTAGACGTAAGCTTTTTGGTACATGTTCCTTTGACTTCCCCTAACCCTTCAATAGTGTGCATAATCTTCCTAAAAAATAAAGGAGTTATTAATATAATATTTTAAGAGATATTTCTAGTTTTAGTTTAGCTACATAGAGTTACTACAAAACTATATCCCTATAGTCCAGCTAAGAGATTGTTATCAATAATTAGTACTGCCAACGACTAAATTGTTAACGAGGATAGAACACGTGAAAAGTTCGTTGGAAATCTCCTCCTGAGTTATTTTATTGTCGTAAATATGGAGTTATATGGTTTTTTTTAGTTATGAAAAAGGTGAAATAAATATTGGTAACCAGCCTATTAAATGCAGATAAGAAATTTCTTAACACCAATTAGACTTCTACCTGAGACTTTATTAATTTTCAAAGATATTGTACTTTTAAGACACATATTGTCAAGTATTGGTTTTGTACGGCTTTATTGTTTGATTGGTTGAATGATTTCATCATGAGCTGAGATCAGTAGCTTAATGGTGTTTTCGAGTTCGCCTTCTAACCAAAAGCTGCTGGGTTCGAACCTCAGTGGGTGCGTACTGTTGAAGAGCCATAAAGTAGGACGAAACAGCTGCCCAGTACTCCCAGGTTTTTCCAGTGGTCCTCTAACCGATATCACCTCATGATGAAATCCTCCAACCAACTTTCATATTGACTACATAACTTTGTGGATATCATTATGAAGATAGTCTGTTTAAAATAAGACATCTGTTTTAAAGATTAAATAGACTGGCCATAAAGTAATTTCTAAAAAGGTGAAAATTCTCTCTCACATTAAGTTTATTATTAAAGTTATCTGAAATGCTTTTCAGGGTAAAACTACCAAACAGTAATTCAGTACACTAGAGCAGGATGATTTCGGTTTACTCTGCTGATGATTATATATATATATATATATATATATATATATAATAGCAGTATACAGTTGAGGATTAGTTCTGATGAAGGTGTGAAATTATCACTCACTGAACTATTCACTTACTCACAACCATTCGGTCACAAGTTATAGCGTCGCTCCACCGAACGGAGTTAGGTCAGCCAGGGAGAATCATTAGCCTTCTATATGTGACACATAGCTAGCTACATAGAAATTTTAGTGGTTAACAACTAATACTGTGTGAGTCGGTGGCACAGTGGTTAGGACTCTCGCCGACCATGCACATGGTCCGGGTTCGATACCCTGCCGACTCACACCTGATATCTATGGTCGGCCTGCGAAATTCGGGCTACCGATATCCATGCTGAAAATTCCATACTTGTACCAAAAATACGGTGTGGAATCAAGCTGTAATAAAAAAAAAATTTCCTTCATTTACACCTACCTGTTATCAGATCACTAGTTTCCAAGTTTCTATTTTCACTGACTCTTAAAAATACTATTTTCATTATGTCTTATTTTATATCTATTCATAAGTCGTTTTATTCTAATTCCACTATTTTTTTCTTGAAGTATTCGGAGGTAGACCAACACAAATGGCCCGTGTAATTCTTGTCGGAACTCATGCAGACGTAGTCCAGTGTCAAAAAGATCCAAATGGAGTTTATTATGATGAAGAGGCCTTACAATTCATAAAAGAAATTATATCAGAATATGAGTAAGTGAAAGACGGGCTTTTATTCAAGGAAGAATATTTTGCTATTAACTCAGTTTCTGACTGATGAGATTCCCCTTCGCCCCCCCTCCCCCGAAATGCATTTAACACGTTTCATTATTTCCACTTGGATTGGACTGTTGTAAAATTCTAAATCGAAAGCGATTGGTTGCACTAAAACTCTTCCCAATAGGGAGATTTCTCATGATAATAATTTTGAACTTGAAGTGTTATACTAAACAAACTCCTAGTTGTTTTACAACTTAGTTTTACGTAAGAAAAATATTTAATGCAGAGATTCAAGTGCTAATAATTATACAGGAAATCGGTATTCTCAAAGGGATTGAAACACTCGATCTTCATTATGTATTTATTGGTGGTCATAATGATGACACTGATGAATTGATATCCTCCGAGATGTATGCTTTGCCTGCAGGTATTCCAACTTCAAGTCATGCCTTCCAAATCAGCCTGAATTATACTACTTTCTTTAGGGCTTTTATCATCACTCAACTTCTGCATCAAAATATCGCCTGAAGTATTCTTTTTTACGAGCAAATACAATGTAGTAAGCACATTTCTGTAAAACTATAGACAAAAATAAAACAGAGGTGATGAAGATTCCTGGTCAACAACAACAACATCAACAACAGACAACAATCAGCCAGCATAAATGGGAAGAACCTGAAAGAAACAACCTCCTTCACCTACCCACCTACCTGGGAAGCATCGTTTCAACTACAGGCGGACGGAACTGATGAGGATATCAAAGCGAGGACCGGGAAATCAAGGCAAGCTTTCATTACTCTCAAGTCTGTGTGGAGGTCAACAGCACTCAGCGTCGAAAATAACATCCGGATTTTCAATTCCAATGTGAAGTCAGTCAGTGCTACTCACTATACGGATCAGAGACTTGGCTAGCGTGTCATAAAGAACACCTCAGACAAACTATCGACCTTCATTAACAGTTGTCTTCGCTCAATACTCAAGATCAGATGGCCGGCCAGAAAAGATCAGCAACAGGGATCTCTGGTAATGAGAGAACCAACTCAGCAGGAACCGATTGTGAAACAAATAGGCAGGAAGAAATGGAGATGGATTGGCCACACTCTGAGAAAACCATCGAGTGACATCACTAGACAAGCCATCGCTCGAGTGGAACCCTAAAGGGAAGCGGGGAGGTGGTCGTCAGTGCAAGGGGTGACTTGGAGGAAGTCGTGTGAAGAGGAGATGAAAGCATGTGGGCAGACTTGGAGTCAGAAAAAGCAAATAGCAGGGTAAGAGGGTCAATAGTACTGTCTTTTTATTCAGTCATGAAAGGACTGTTAAATAAATGTAATCACGGTTTATAATAGAATACAGATTCTGAAGAAAAGGTAGAACAGAATATTACTAGCAAATTGGGTTTTGATGCGGTTTCATTCTCTGAGTTGGATAGCTAGTTAATTTGCGAAGCTTTGATTGCCCTACTAGGCAACATCATCAGCGAATACTTCAGTTTGAAGTGAGCTTTTAGATTTCGCCACGAGTTTATTGGTCATCTCTCTTGGTGACCTTGAACAACCAGTCAGATTCAAGGTCTTCAGAAAAGATGACCAATAAACTCGTGGCGAAATCTAAAAGCTCACTTCAAACTGAAGTATTCGCTGATGATGTTGCCTAGTAGGGCAATCAAAGCTTCGCAAATTAACTAGCTATCCAACTCAGAGAACACTACCACATCAAAATCATCCACCTGAGCTACAAATCTTCTCCATCACATCTAAATTGGGCTTTTGATGTAAAAATGCCATACTCTGTTTAGTTCTGGACGATATTCACTCAAGGAAACATGACTTGACATCTTCAAATGACATTAATTTTGTTATATATGCTGACGACCTAACTGTATCTTTGCCTGTCAAAGTGACTGCTCCAAACTAAATGGTTTTTTATAAGAAATCAGCCAGTGGTCCAAGGAAAACAGTCTCCCCTTAAACCCCTCCAAATGCCAAACAGTTAATTTCACCTTTAGGCATAAGTCTGGCCTAAACAAACTGGTTACCACTCACCAGGTGTGCAACATAGATGGCGCTGAAATTGAAACCAAGTCGGAAATTAAATATCTTGGCGTCATTCTATCTGCTGATCTTTCCTGGTCGTCTCATATCTTGATGATTTCTGAGAAAATATTCATTCTTACCTTCTACATCAAGAAGTTAAGACATTCTGGAATAACGCAACCCTTACTCCTACGATTCGTTAACTCTTGCATCCTGCCTATTATTCTATACTGTTCCCCCTTAGTTTTTCAAGGGCTACTGAAGAAGGACTATACCTTATTACGCAGGATGTTAAAGGTTGTCATCAGGGTGAGCAACGTGCCACTTAACCAGCTTGTGAATATTCTGGTCGATAGGCACTTGGACTCATGTGAAAAATCGGCTAAATCCATTTTATCTAACTCACACCACCCTCTTCATTCACCACTCTCTCCTTGTATCTCATCAGGCAAAACCAGAAGCCTATATAGAAAACTATATACTCACACTAGCAAGTACAAAAACTCAACCATACCCTTCTTAACTCGTGTTCTGTACAACAGAGAAGAAAGCATTAGGTGTGATACCTATAACTTATTAAATAGTCAGTAGAACAACTGGATCTCGTCTCTCCAACTCATATCATTTATAGGTACAACGTTTTCTTTCTTTCTTTTCCTTTTCCCTCTCTATTTTCTCTGTTATGTGCTGCTTTGTTTCCTTCTTGTTTACTAACTCTATTTAAAACATTCTTCTTCGTTCTTTCACACTCTGTATATCTCGACCATTTTGTTACCACTTACACCAGTAAGTATGCTAAAACCTACTTTTCTACCACCTTCAAACACTCTGTTCAATTTTGGCTTCGCTACGGATATACCAATATGTTGTCAAAACTAACTGAGATTACCCTTAATCTATGTAGAATTTTATTTATTGATAATGTACTAAATGGATGCAATGCTGTAGTAAAATGCTGAGAATTCCATTCTGTATCACAAGTACTGTTTTGGAATAAAGCAAATTATTATTATTATTGTTCCAGCTCCTACTATTTTCCTCTTTTTTATGGTATGAGTGTTGAACTATAGACAGTTTAAAAAAACTACAACCAAGACGCAATTGAAGTTTTTACATTGTTTCAAAGCTGAGAAAACTCTGTAGTATTAACTGAGACAAACCTACACATTATGCTACATAGAGGTGTAAATAATGCTACAAGTTTTAAATTTCAATAATCGAACAGCTACTATTTTCTGCGCGTTAGCTAAATTTAGGGGGGGGGGGTTTGTGTAGTCTTACAGTTTAGAGTAGTGCATGTAAACCAAGTTTATAGACAGCTATAAACTTTTATTAAAAATAGTCTAACTATTTTAGATGATTCCAACAGATTTAAATGAGACAACATCATTGAACAATACTGAACAAACAAATATGGTTACATGCACAGGGCTATAAAGAATTGTTACATTGAATTGATAAAAATGTATGTAGATCAATTTGTGAGAAAAAGAAACTTCGGAAACTTTCAGTTGTTAGTGCATATTGTATCAAAGGTTCTTTCAATAATAAAAAATTGTATTATGAGTTTAAATAGATATGTTTTAATGTCTGAGGTTTATAATTTCTTAATAGAATACTTGTTAAAATAGTAAATATGCTTATGTCCAGCGTACTTGATGTTCTGTTTCCGTTACATAGGAACTATATTTTTAGTGTTTGTTCACTTGCAGAAAAGTTCTTTAAATGCGTCTTTTGATAAAAGTCTCTTTTCTTCCTGCCATTAGTCCGACTGAAAAAAAAACTTGATCGAAATTCCCGCATAGCGAATTGCCTACTTGTATGGTCTTCTTTAGGTGTGGGTGGTGGTAAATTCTGGTTTCTATGACGATATTACTTCTTGGATTCAGATAGACGTTGATGACAAGTTTGAAAAAAGAATAAGTATGCTTAACGTCAATAAAATAACTGTAATAGTATCAAAATGATAACAGAAGTATTCGTTCCCATTGTTTCTTAACTGTTTATGAATAACCTAGTGGAACCTTCTACTTACCTCAAAAATATCTAGAATTATGTGAACATCCTGTTCATTGTACAAACTCAATCATATATTTTGAATACCTGCTGGTCAACAAAGTCTTTCTAGGTGTTTCATCATATTTCCCTACCATCGATAAATGTGGCGGAAAATTCGAAACAACAACCATAACTTTGGTCTCTGAATATAACTATATACTACTAACTGATTTGGATGTCTAGTTGTATACCACCCGAATCAAACAGTGACCTAAATACTTCTGATGAGCTCGGCCCTAAGCGAGAAAACAACTCGATCTGGCTACCAAGCACTAGTGGTTGACGTGAGTCTCATCCAACTACTTACCTCAACAGTCAGTGGTAAATAGTTTCATGAAAATTGATCACATACTATAGTCTGAAACATTTGATTTTCAGAGGAAATTGGGGTTAGATTTCGTGCCCTTGAACTGTGTAAATCACTGATTACGAATTGATTTGCTAATTATAAATTAACTTCGGTTTCTGTTATTTCTTAGTCATTGATCAGAAGGTTAGTCAACGCAGCAAAGTCATTCAAGACATTTTTTGAGTAAATAAATTCTGAATTATGTCTTCTAGTGATCACTTTACATCTCGATTTTTCCCCTGTTGTCTTGAGTCAAAGTATATAAATGAGCTTTTATCTGTTTTATGGTGCGTCTGTGGCACAGTGGTAAAATGCTTGCCAACCACGTATGTGGTATGGAGGTCGATACTTAGTCGGCGCACTCATTTATCCTCCCTAAACCAGTAATAAGATCGGTAAAGAGGGAAGGTAGGGCATGGGGCTAGCAACTACATCCCGTTAAAATAAACACCACTGCTACAAAAACTTCAAGTCTCTAGCTTGAAGCCTTAGGTTCCACTGGCAACATAAAGTATAAAAAATTGGTTTCTTCTTTTCTGAAACTCTGGATCGATATTTACCACCCATGGCAATACACAGAAAATGTGTTGTTACAGCAAATTTAGCATCTGTTGTTTATGTATCATCAATGAGCAAAACTTTTTATTCCCTAGTGCTAATTTGAAAAATCCACATTGATCAAATGACCCTATTTATAACACTCTAAGTAATTTTACTTAGTATTCAACTGAAAAGAAGTAACGTGACAGCGGCAAAGTACAATGGTTTTGAAAATGAAGTTCCCTGATGAAAGCCATAAGTTTTCATATTAAATAATATTCAAATCTCCTGTCGTCACTAATAACTTCTGAATAAGATAAACCGAAACATCATACTGCACTTTTGCATATTTTTGCCAAAACGATTACATTTGTTCAAAAGTTTAGGACTCCTTTACGATGATTTTGCTGCCTATCGGTATTCAGCTTGCAAGCATGAAAAGATTTCTAGGTATCTTTTCTGTTTAAGGGCTCTGTAAAAATCTTATTTTCTCATTTTTTAACGGCAATCCAACTTCTTTTTGACGCTGGAAAATTCTATCGTTTTCGATGATGAATATTACTTTTATGAAACTCCTGACAGAAACCCGTAATCACAGTTCTGTGTGCGCAAATTTTACGACACATTCAGGCCGTTTTCACAGAAAATCAGAGCATCAAATTTATCATGAAATTACTTTGACCCAAGACCATCCGTTTCGCACAGAGTGAAAAGTACACGTTCTTAACAGTTAGTAATCTGTCCAGTTTCTTACATCATGTCTGCAAAATGAAGTTTGCTAAGGGGTTTTGCCGACTGATTTTCAATACTTAGCATGAGCAACTTTTCAACAGATTATTTAGTCACCTTGTTGAACGCACACTACTAAAGCCCTAGGGTTCTTACAAAAATCAACACATGGCATTGGTGACCATATGATGGCTAATGCCTCAATAGCAATTCTACCTAACTATAGCTTATATGATTTTCCGGCTTCTTGTTATCATAGAAGAAGGTATCACGGAGACTATCTAACCATGTATTTTAAGAGTTATTCTTATAGAACCACAAAGGTACACCGACATCTCTTTTGAAAATGAAAAGTGTAAGAGATCATTATCATTAGATGTGAAGCGGAAATTGCTACTTCATTTCCTGTAATATAGTTTCAGAGAGATGTTGGACTAAGTGTTCCAAACAATAAAACCCTCATTATTAGAAAAACATTACGTCTAGAAAAGCATTAACGCCTTTCAGGTGTCCTTCGGAATCTCAGCGTGCTACACTGTTGCTTTTCTTATCACAGTGATCCATTCAATAAAAGTCTGATCAGTACCAAGAAGAACTTTTTGTGTTACTTCGGTTATTGTGATTTAAATGTCTGATGTAAACTTCCACAGATAAATAAGGTCGACTTAATCCTCAGACATGCTCTTCTAAATATTCTTGAGGGCGTATGATTATCTTAGGATATAAAGATACTTTGACAGATAATGACTGCAAGAATAATTCACAGACAAGATAGGGTATCTTGGCCACTAAATTCTAAAGTCCGATATACTAAATAGAAATAATAGCTAAGGTTTTATCAAAACCTCTGACAACTTCGGTAATCATTAAAGATACTACTGGAAAACGTTTTGTTGGTAAATTCATAAAGTTTAAAGCATAACTGTCAAGTTAACAAATGCTTTCCTTTCATTCATACCCCGCTTGTGCATTGACTTTTTCCTTCCTACGGATAGTAACTTTCCCCTGACCCTACATTACTTAATTCGATGAATATTGTTTCGTTAAATCACTTAAATTGTCTCCTTTCTAACATGAACTCCTTTTCGACTATTAAGAGATAAGCTGGACATTCACGAATTTGTTTATCTACTCGATGCAAGAGATGGAACATCCACAGAAATGAAACAATTGAAGACATTTTTGGCGGATGTTCGAAATATCATAGTTCATGTAAGTTATTTCAAAATTTTAATTTTTCCCAACATATGATTCTATCTTGTAATCTATACTGTTTAAAATGTGCTGAGTAAACTTGCAAAACCATGAAATGAAAATGTTGCCTAAGGCGCTTCTGTTAATAACATGCTAGTCAATACAAGCAGTATAAATGCAAAACGAAAAAACGAAACCGTGAATATTTCATGCTTATTAGCAAATATCTAAGTGTTCGATTGTTAAAAAAGTAAAGTAGCCATCGGCTAATTGTACAATTTAAGTGTGGTATGCCAGAAAAGTAACAATGACGCAATATAATCGACTTGTATTTATTCCATTTGTTCTAGATTACCACGTAGATATTGTACAATGAAGATAACTTCATGCAGTGGATATCTGAGACCTATTTTCATACAAGACTAGCATGCCAACAATTGGACTGACATAAATCTGTCGTCTCATTTTAGTTTAGTATTAATTCCAGTATCTATTCAAGGTTTGTTGTTTGTTGAAGTACTTGTGACGGAATTTCGTCAGATTTTTTGACTTGAATATGAAATCAAGTTTTCGTCGGTCACATCACTCATACAACAGTTATCAAACTCATCAATAGAAAGGTATAATATGGATTTAATCGAATTTTAGATTTTCCTGTCTATTGATTGGACCGAAGTGCTCGGTCTCAGGTTGACATGTTGGCTTCTTGTTCAGATGCTTCGACAATGTCTGGGCATTTAATCAAAATTTAATTGGGGATTGATGGTGACTAGCGTGGAATCCAGAATGCGCATTTCTTCCTATTTGGGACTCGTCATCTGGATGTATCTGCACTCTCCAGTGAGGTGGCTGTCATGTTCCAAGTAGTCTAGTGGATAATGCTTTGGCGTTTGAAACTATGGGCACTGGGTTCGAGCCTCGGTGAGAACATCATCACACACTGAGAAATGCAGGTAGATCCGGACGATGAGTCCCAAATAGGACGAAATGCGCATCCAGGATTTCACTGCTAGTCACCATCACCAATTAAAGTATAATACGGATGTTTAGAAACATGGTTTTGTCTCTCTTATTATGATATTTGCTCTACATTTAGAGAAAAAACAGAAGGCGAATTCATATTTTCTTATCATGATAAACTAAAGGTATTTATCTTGAGCGCTATATACTCGTGACTGTTGTAAGTACGCATTTAGCTGGTTTTAGGCCATTAGTAGAGAAAAGGAAAGAGTCTGAATATATTATAGATATGCAGATTGTGCGTAATAAGGCTGGCACAAAAAAAGAACACTGCATCATGTGTACTTATTACCAAGGGAATCAGAAGGCATGTGAAAGTGTGTACATTTATACTTAAGCCTTTGTCATTTACGTGTTTAAAAAAATATTTCTTGAGAGTGATTTGTTTAAATGTATTCCATAGAAGATTCTGTAAGCTGTGACAAAATTAATTTAATTTATGAAGTCGCAAACGGAAGATTGTATCAGAATATGAACCAATGGCTATTCGAAAATCATAGATAGTAATCTTCAGTCAGCAACAAACCAAGTTACTAAATGACTGTCTCAATGACTGGACGTATCTGAAACGTTTAAGAAACACTAGTGGAACATGTTTTTTTGAGTAACTAAGTGAGACTTATTAAATAATTGGAAACATTGATTTTCCGATACGAATTCAAAGCAAGCAACAAAGGGTAATAAAGCAGGATTTAATGAATTCATCTAATTTCGGTACAGCTCTTCAACTGAATACTCTACGTACAGGGATATATATATATACTATTGGAAATACATTGGGAGATAGAAGATTGAAAAGCAGACAAACTATATTGAATCAATCATGCAAAACGACACGTGTGAATGTCTTTCAGATCATTTTCAAATTGATAAGGGGAAGGGAGTATGAGAGATTAAAATTGAGATAAAATGCATTATGCATCAATTATATCACCTAGATACACAATTAGTCATTAGAGAAAGAACTTAAGTATATCAAAAATTGCCAACTGATTAATATTAATAGTAACAGTTATGATAATAATCTTGAAACGACTCAAAAAAAATGATACTGATAGAAGATCATTTTTAATAATCAGAAATAATAATGATAAAATGTAGAAAAAAGCTATAATAACCTGATAATAATAATCACAGATAGTAAGTAAACGTATCATCATGGCAGAGTCAGAGTGAAGACCATTTCCTTTTGTACACAAAGACATGGTTTATAAACCTGAATTGCACAAGGGCCCGCAATTGCAGACATCTTCCTGTTTCTTGGTCTGCTGACAACAGTGTCAAAAAGCTCAATAACAAAACATCTTATCAGATAGTTGGCGGCGATCGGCAAGCTAGGTCAAGGCATCCTGCCGACTGCCTTCAACTATCTAATATCATCAAATCAATGTGCACCGTGATGGTGAGCCACCTAGTGGCATGGTGGCCACATCGCAAACTTGACTGATAGAATTCAGTATGCACCAAAGAAAGGCTATACACGTCACACTAGTTACTAGTGCCCAATTAAAATGAAGAAATATCTTATGGACTACGAACATGATGTCGATTCCGTCAAGTCATTCTCCAATGACTAATTGTTTATCTAGGTGATATAAATGAAGCGTAATGCATTTTGTCTTAATTCTAATCTCTCATTTTCCCTTCCCCTTTTTTATTTGAACATGACCTGAAAAACATTCACAAGTGTGGTTTTGCATGGTTAATTCACTATAGTTTGTCTCATTTCAATCTTATATCTTCCAATGTATTTCCAGTAGCATATATATATATATAAATATATATATATATCTTAAAACAGTGAGTTCCCTTTATGAATTTAGATAAAGCAATAAGAAGATGTAATTCGTCTGAATCGTGTAATGTATTTGCGCAACACATTTCGAACAATCTGATCACACACGGACTTGTCATAGGAATATATAAATATGATTTACCAATTTGAATGTACGTGTGGACACATATATAGGAAGGACTCATCGATCGATTTATCCCCAATTGTTTATTGTTTACAGACGGTCCGGTGATTTTGGAGAATTCTTCAGAATAAAATTAAACTGGCATTAAGTTTTGAATTGGCAGAAGTAGAATCCATAAGTTACTGGTTTACAATCCAGAGGTTGGATTGGAAGAGTACTTGCCTTAGTATCTAAAGGTTCTATGTTCTATCCATTTTGAGGTCATGGGTACTCACGGCTGAAAACCTTTAGGCTAAGACTAACAAATTGCCTGGTACCTAATGGATACCAACTCATCTCCAACTGATGAGGGCTCAAACTGAAATTATACTTCAGACTAATCACGTCTTCACACACCCATCTGTTCAGTATTCCTTCAAAAATTCAGCCAAACTTTTAAATATATATATATGGCATTGAGTAGTAAGAAATTCCTCTCAATGCAAGTCTTCTGTTTGTCACCACCTATAAGTGAGTTTTACCTACAGTCGTGAAGAAACCAATGTTTACATGGGAATACAAATCTGTCCCATCTAGGTTTTTTTTTAACTACAAACCCTACCAAAATATTTTGACAACTGATGGTTTTCGGTACAATTAAATCAAGAAAAGTAATCATCAGCATTAGAAAACGCATCGCTTTATTATGACAGTGTGATAAATCCACTCAATATTCTTACCTATTTGTGAATTAAGCTATACGTAGATTTCTAAAGAGAAATATGTTTCAAATCAAAATTGCATTTGATGCAAAAAAAGGCATATCGTTACATTTCAGACAATGCAACTAAATACTCTTGACTTTGTTTATTATAGGTCAGTAGTCATTAGTGTTGTATACTTTTTATACAAATCGATTTATTTGACTGTGTCGTTCAAAAATGCTGTCTACCATGCAGACTACCATCATAGCAAATGTTAGTATTGATTGAATTCTATCGGTCAAGTTTACAAATTCACCAAGATAGGTGAGTTGGCCAACTCAGCACACTATGAATTGATGTTAGTTGATAGTGAACAATCAGTTGAAGGTCACAGACCTCGGTTTCATCTTTATGGTAGTTGTCTGCAAGGCGTGTATCTACAACCGACTGACTGCTACAGAAATATAGTAAAACGACGACTTAAATTGACATAAATACCTAAACTGCGATGAAAATCAAACTGTCAGCTGAAATTAGTCATCGTGGATCAGAATAGAATGGAAGTGGAGTCATATCACTAACTAGATTCTGCTTTTGGTTCTCACAATGGAAAGTTAAATTATTAATCCACAGACTGTAAATTCTAATCATTTTGAAATTCCAATAATCATAGCTACATTCAATATTTTTTCCTGTCTGAATTTCGTTAACCAAAAGCTGTTATTTTAAATTTCGTGTACACCAGTATAACAAATACCTACTGAGCCAAAAAAACACGCTTAGCACATGAGAACTGTATATCACAGTCATCCTTTTTTGTATTTGACTAACCTGTGCACTACAAAAATGCATAAGTTTATTGTCTATAGTTGAATGATTTTATACGTATCACATTTATAAGTAAAAAAAACAACAGAATTACTGTATTTATGTAAGAGAACTCTCTGTTATTCTACTAGTAATGGTACATAATTTGTATACTGATAAATCAGTAACAAAAATATTTATCTGTACTTTGGTAATTGAGTATTGATTTGTGTGTCCAAAATAAGAACAAAACCTGATAGAAAGTAGATTAGCCAACAATGTTTCGGTAGATCAAACATCAATGTTATGATAAAGGCTGAAAAATGACTGAAAAAAAGGCCTAATTTCACTGGTGACAGGAATATTTTTCTCATTTTTATATCCGTTTAACCGAGTACTTCAGTCCAATCAATCAACGGAAAAATCTAAAACTGAATTAAATAATTAATAGAACCCATTACTTCATTCACTTATCTAGCATTGAGCAGTGTCTCAACTACAGGAAGTCGGAACGCACGAGGATGTCAAATAGAGCGAGAATCGGGAAGGCAGGCGAGAAACACACATTCATCAACCAACTGAAACCAATCTGGAAATCTTCGTCACTCAGCCACCATCAACAACAAAATTCCGTCGGATTTTCAATACAAACGTCAAGTCAGTCAGCTCTTCTATACGGAACTGATCAGAAACTTGGCAGGCAGGAGGGTCACAAAGAATATTTCCAACAGCCTGTTGCAGACCTTTATCAACCACTAACTGTCTTCGCTGGCTCTATACTGATGATCAGATGGCCGGCCGGGCCGGAAAGAATCACCAACAAGAAAGTATGGCTAGGAAGAAGCAAAACAAGAAGCAATCGCCAACCAACAATTATGCAGGAGAAAGTGGATGTCGGTGTATTGGACACTCGCTGAAGAGGCCGGCCGGTGACATCGCGCGTCAGCTCATTGCTGGAGTTGAACCTGAAAGGGAAGCGGTGGGTGGGACGTGAGTTCAAGGGTGACATGTGAAGGAGATCGTGTGAAGAGGAGTTGAAACAGTATGGACTAACATGCATGGATGCAGGTGAAAAGTACAGTGGAAGAGAGAAGCAAGTGGAGACGTGGAGTTGAAGCCCTGTGTTCCACTAGGAATCCAAGGAAACAATAATAATAATAATTACGCAAGAGGTGGCTCTCGTGGCCCAAGTGGTTCAGTGGATAATGCTTTGGCGTTTGAAACTATGGGCACTGGGTTTGATCCTCAGTGTGAACACCGTCACTTGCTGCTGAATGCAGGTACATCCAACTAAAGAGTCCGAAATAGGATGAAATATGCTAGTCACCATCCAACAGTTAACTCAATAAAAGTTTAGATAAACTTATATCATTCCTCCACTCCTTCTTATCATATTGCTATTGATGAAATATGTAATCCTGCTAGTATTACTCTTTTTATTGGTGCTTAAACTGCTTCTATTACTGGTTGCTCTTTTGATGTAAGTTCAGTAAATAATGTGACACATGGTATCGCTATTTCTACGATCACTACAGTTACCTACAAAGTCACGGAACACAGTTGTAGTGGATTCTGTCTAGCTAGCTAGCATTATTAAGATTCTAAAAATAGTGATAAGGAAATGAAGGTTAACATCTAATCTCCACTCTAGACAAATATGATAACTTCTTGAATATTACTTTTTTAACTAATCCAAAAATATCAAGTTTCATTCAGTTATTTCGCATGGTTTAACACTGAAGTTCATGCATCAATTATCGTATCCAGAAGTGTCTTTTTTTATTCACCTGCTTCCCTTTCACTAATACAGTTATAATGCATTTGTGAAGTCAACCATAGTAAAGTATTTCCTACAGTTAATAATTCGACGTTCACATTATAGGTGATTGAAAGCAGACAGAAAAAGAAGTAATAAATAACTGATATCAAAAAGAGTGTTCGCAACCAAGTGATATATCAGTCTATATCCAACCATGTTTCAACCTGTCCACCGAAATTGAATTCAATTAATCCCGTTACTTTTGAAACAAAATAGGAAATACTTTCCCGCCTATGTACCTCTCCAGTTTACACATAATCTCTCCTGAATACATCAGCCCCATAAGAATTTTCCCACCCATTTTTCGCCATGATACTAATTTGAAATAAGTGAATCCCAGACACTTAAATTGCAATTAAAAAATTTTTTTCCTTCACGTTCCCCAGTGGAACATAGAGCTTCAAGGTAGTGGCTTGAAGTTTCTGTAGCAGTGTTTATTTTTACAGGATGGGGTTGCTAGCATCATGCACAACCTTTTCTCTTTACCAGCATTATTTCCGGCTTAGTGAGGTAAAGGAGTGAGTCCAGTGGCCGGGGATCCAACCCCAGATCATGTGCATAGTCAGACAGTGTCCTAACCTCTCTGCCACCGACTCTATCGCAATCTAAAAATAGACTCTTAAAAAAAACATGAATTTAGTTTTTGGTTGTTCTGTAGCCTAGATGTATTAATTCATTCTAAGAAAAGGTCCTAAGTATGTACACAGTTCCAAATATATCTGAAGTTAACTCCTGTCAACATTCCACCCTATAGTTATGTATCGAAATAGGTAGATAATTAAAGGCTTTTTTATTACACTTCTGTTTTACTGGAGTCTTCGGACTATCGCCAGATAACAGGTATGATTACTACCAGGCTACTGTATACTTCTGGTTGGTTGATATGAGTAGTTGTCACTTACGTCAAATAGTAGTGGTTTCTAGCCTAATCGAAATGATCTAAGTGCTAGATGGCAATTCCACTCGTTTGAGGTAGATGTCATCAGTGGTGAACTGAGTTCAACTCAGCTTAGGAGGCTGAATCACTTCAAACCACCGGAATTCTGGCTTCTGGACTTCATGTTACAGTCAACTCAGAAATTATTCCTGTTATTTTACAGGTATCTTGTCTCTTAACACTCACACTGAGCTGTTTAGCATGAATACAAGTGCTTCTGCACATCTGCTAAACCTGATGGTTATTTCATTGCCTCCTCAAATCTAAACCAAATAGTGCTTTCAGCTGTTTGGCTATTTAAACTACAATGAGTTTTCTGTAGAAATCGATTAGTTGTATTGAGTGTTACTAGAAAGCGAGGAAAGTCCTCTATACATGTGTGTATGCCTAGAACCTCGAAAAATGTCTACACCTGGTTATACCATCTAAGAAACAGACGTAATTTGGATGCCCGAACCTTAGTATTGGTTTTCTAGCTAGTCATTTTGAAAACTGCAGTACAAAATTTTGTAAGGGGTAACAGCTATTCACAAGAGCTTAACAACTTTACTTCGCTTGGAAACCTCTAAGTGTTTAGCTGTTTTATGTCAACTGATATGTTTTGCTTTACATTTTAAATTGTCAACTCTGGAAATGTTTGACTTAATTTAAACAATCCATAAAAATCAATTAAAAACCGCGGATAATTTGAAATATCAATGAATTTGACTAAATAAATCTTTCTCTTTCAATACAGACTCTTCCTAGAACAAACACGTTAATGTTGGATGTATCGAATAAATTATCTGAATGGACAGTGAATGATCTATTTCCTATCTGCAACTTAGATCAATTCGCAGAACGGATTCATGAGAATATTAATCCATTGTGTACGGATGAACATTTATTTACTCTTATTGAGCACTTGCAGTATGCAGGAAATGTATGTTTTTTTTCTATTGATTTACTGTAAACATAACATCCTTTTTTCCAATAACTGAATATATTTTAAAGAATAACGTCAACTACAAGAGGAAAGTATACATTCGATAAAATAAATGATGTTTAAAGTATCTATGATCAAGTTTGGTTCAGAATAAAAACCAATGATATTCAACTCTGAGAATCCATAGTACAGATTAGCTTACAAGTCCTTTCGGGTTTGCAAACCTAATGTTAAAAATTAAATACTCTCATGATGTATTGCAGGTTGAATCGACTAATAGCTTAAAATATGCAAACCTAACTTTTAATAGTGAAGGTTCTAAGACTTAAAGTTTTAATATAGCCGATCTAAAAACAATACAAATGTTCACACTATGAATGAACTTCTACGTGAGACTCAATGCGTATCCAGTGCGTCGGTGGCACAATGGTTAGGACTCTCGCCGACCATGCACATGGTCCAAGGTTCGAACACCTGCCAACGCACACATATATTATCGGTAGCCTAAATTTTGCAGGCCTACCATAGATATCAGGTGTGCGTCGGCAGGGTATCGAACTTCGGACCATAAGCATGGTCGGCGAGAGTCCTAACCACTGTGCCACAGACGCACATGGTTGGCCTGCGAAATTTGGGCTACCGATATCCATGCTGAAAATTCCATACTTGTACCAAAAATACTGTGTGGAATCAAGCTGTAAATAAAAAATAAAAAAAAATAAAAGTTGCAAGTAGTCTTGCTGATTACATAAATATCTTTAAGTTCTTCCCTCGTCTTTAAGTGTTTCAGTCGGTCCTCTAAGCTATTTTGCATAGTGCTATAAATAATGCATAGTGGTACACAATAGTTGATACACTCAGAATTTATTTAAATAAAGTTTTTGAGTTTTCATCACTGATGATAGATTATCAGCATTCTTGGACAAAATATTTAAACTCTAGATTTTACTATTTATACGACAACTGGGATGATCTTGATATTCAGACTTAATTACAAAGAATGGGTACTGAATAAAGAATACTCTTTTTGATAACCTGTTCTTCATCAGCCTATACAGTTATATATACATTATAGTGAATGAATGAATGAACTAGTGTTATGAACAACATTAATGTTGCTGTTTAAATAACATCAAATCAATAATATTGATAGATTATAGCTCATTAGCATCAACATAAAATAATCTGGATGTCAGTTGAATTAGGAAAGATAATATTACAAATTCATGAATTTACACTCTCTACTGTAGGCCGGCCAGGACAGTAGTAGGGTCTACCTGGACTTGCTTCTTTTGCACACAGAGCACTGGTTGTTTGAGGCGAATTGCGATGGCTTCTGCTGTTTGGAGCATGCGGTGCTTCGATGATTTTGGCAATTTATTAGGCACTCGGTAGATGATAGAGAAGGATTCTTCCACGCTGGCTGACTTTGTGGCCTGTTTGCACCAGATGGTCTAATATCGAATTGTTAATGGTTTTCACTACACTTTTACTTAGCCATAGTGGGGGATGTTCTCGAACATTAAAAAACAAGTTCCTACAGCAACGGCCAATATAACTCGCTTCACAAGCGCAGTTGAATCGGTAGATACATTTGGAAATGGCTAGTCTAGGAACTTCATCTTTGTGTCGAGGTAGCACCATCAGTCGTGTAAGCGGTTCACTTAGCTGTTTTGAGTCTTCCTAAATCACAAAATTTTATTAGGCAAAACAAAATGGACTTGTGTATTCGTACGTTGGTAACCAAAGTATTGCCCATGTCATTTGTATGACACTTAGTGTTGGTGCTGTTTGAATCCAGTCAATGAGGTCTGCAGTGTGACCAACATGCAAGGTGACTTGCTACTTCAGTGGTAGGACACGAAGACCTTTACCTACCTTCTGTGTCAATTCGCACTAATAAGCAAATCTCCGAAAAATTTCCAAGAAATTGATTTATTCATTGTAGTCTTACAGGATCTCAATCACGGACGGAAAACCCTAACTGTAACGTCCTCAAATCCAGAAATGGGAGGCGGATTGGAAATTCGACTGTTTATCAATTCCTTTATAGTTGAAGGGTGTCAGTAAGCATGAAGCCTATGAACATGGCTTCATGATGATTTCCTAGCACAAACACAAAGATTTTAATGTTATTGTAATCCATAGTTTTGTTTTTAATTAACATAAGAAGTTACACTCAGACAATCATGAATAAATCAACATCTTCATTTTTAGACATTATGTTAACACAGTATAGAATTCTTAGAGTATTTAAATTTCAGAATATTCGTAAAAGATCAACAGTTAAAATAGTGTTCAGCAATATATCATAGGATGCTGCGTTAATGAGTCAAGATCCAGTCCTCTACGACGTTTCTCCTTCAGGGAGTAGGCAACATTACGTTGAAACCTAACAGAAAGTGCACATAAAATGTTGACGAGTACCGGGTCAGTTATCCCCAGACTAGTGATTAATATACTGCTGAGATTCATATACTCATTTGATCCTCAGTTACCACCCCTTATATCTTTCATTTCAAGGCGATCCAAGACAGTTTATCATCAAGAATCCATTACTTGGATAGACTAATTTTTCACAATTTTGTGGAGTATGAATTTATCACTGCTGGCTATATAATAATCATATCTTATATCATTCAAAGCCTTTTATGTCATGAAAATAAAAAAAAATGACAAATCAACCATGAATTCTGCAATAAAATCAATCAGGTGTTGTCATAGTGACAATTAGAGTGCAGTCTGTAAAGCAATACGTTTCCTTATGAATTATTCATATTGGAATAGGAAGATAATAACTCACGTGTATAGTTTACTTTTGCAATTGCTAAACTTGTTGGATATCAAAATGACACAATTCTGGTGGTATAAGTGTATTTTACCTCCAATACATTAAATTTGCTCATTTGTTAGATTTCCGTCACTTTATTGTTTTCAATGTTACTTATAACAGTGCATATAAGTAGTGTGTCTTGATGCGGTTGGGCTGAACAAGTGGAAACCATGAACCAGTGTTTTATAAAACAAATGAAATGCACTTATACAATGACTGGTCACTAGGGAATAACCAAAGTCATGTTACTTGTACTTGACAGTGGTACAGACTGAATCCTGTCAGTCACGTTTTTTATACGGTCACCAAGCTAGTTGGCTCACCATCGCGGTGCACTCTAAATTCGTGTTGGGTAAATGGAGGCAATTAGCAGAAAGCTGTGGACGTAGGTTTTGTGTCTTCTGACAGTCTTCGGCGGGTGAATCTGCAGCCTTGAAGAAACAGATGTTCCTGTGAGTTACGAGCCCAAGTGATCCAGTGCTTCATTAAGGGGCGTTACGTTGCACACTTGACTCGCTGAATTCATTCTGTATCAGCACAAGTGAATACAGACATGGCACTGGTTACTCCCCATTAACAAATCAGTATATCCATTACATTCAAGCAGGGGTCAGCCGTGAGCCTGAATAGATAAGTGGTTAAATCTGGCACTTAGGTCATGAGTGAGAATCTAATAGAAGATATTAGTTGCTCTAAGGTACTAACATGCTGGAAACTTGGGTACACTATTTCCCCTAGTCTTCCCACCTCCACCCCCGATCACCTAATATCATAGTACGCGTCTGTCTATTAACAGTCTTTAAAGCACAATCGCAGAGGAAAACACTAAAATGTATGCTGTTCGTTGGTAGTAGAAAACGCAAGTCTCTTCATCCTCTTCGAAGTCTTTCCGGCAAATAATAAGGTAAATCTTGTTAGACGACAGTGTCAGCACCTGAGTAAAACAGAATATTTGTACAGAATTCGACTATCAAAGAGCAGATTAAGTCTAATAACTTACCAGGTGTAAAGCTACATTCTAGTTTATTCAGTATTTCATTTCGCGCTATGTCGTGAAGTGGCAGAAGTTAGAATTCATGGGCTGGGAATTGGATCGCGTCCTTTGTGTCTAAGTGTTCTACGAGCTCTATGGCCTTGTAACCGGAAGGTCGTGACTTCGAACCTTAGTGTTTAAGTACTGATGAAGAGTCCCAAACTAGGACGAAACAGCTGTTCAGTACTCCCTGTTGGATTTTCCAATGGTTCTCTAACTAATGTCATTTCATTTTTTTATTTTACAAGGGATGTAAACGCTCGAATGAACTAGTTCAACTTTGTATCCATGTTCATAATCAGCGCTATTTTTTACACTTCTTTTTTTTAGATTGTATATATTGAAGCACCAACAAATAATACTGCAGATAATAATATACTGAGTGATACTACAAACGATAATAATAACAATAATTACTACAATAAAAATGATATGATTGTACTCGATCCAAATCGATTGTGTAATGAAATACTTGGTAGATGTTTATCTGAACGTTTCCTCCGTCGAACCAGGATAACAGGCAGTTATACTCTAGATGAATTACAATTATTTGTACGTGAACAAAATACCCAACAAATGATTAGATTACTTGAATCATTTGGTTTATGCGTTTGTTGTATTGTCAAAGAGCATCGTCATGTTAGTCGAATGAAATCTCGTGGTAAAAAGCATTCAGCTGATTGTTTTGAATTATTTGAGCAAATCAATAGTAGCCCACAGTCAAGGACACTCATACAGGATACTGTATACACTGATCCTAATGGGGTTAGTGGGAGTACCGGTAGTAGTAGTAGTACTGGCAGTATAAACAATCATAGTAATAATATTCATAAGTTAACTCATACATACACTAATGATTCATCATTAAATAATACTCAAATTTTAAAGCCAATAGTATTTGATATCTCACGATTGAATGATACATCAATACGAAATGAAGATATACAAATTGAAATGCCACGTTTGAATTTAATCCCACTATATCAAGGTCTATGGGATAATAATGACAATGAAAATAAAAGAATGGTTTATTCTGGTGTACAGTTAATCGCTTCCCCAGGACAATTTATTCATTTAATGCCACGTATACAAGTCCAGTTAAGACGTGAAATATCAATGAATTGTAAAAAATATAATCAACAGAAAAAGTTATGCAATAGACTGTATAGGTTAACTTGTAAAGATCAGAATAATTTTTCATCACCTTCAGAAGTTTACATGAATTCCTTACACTATAATTCAAGTAATATTGCGCATAAACGTAAATTGACAAATTACTCACCATCTTGGAATTTAGTACAATGGCTTCATGGTTCAAAAATATCAGATTCTAAAGGAGAAATTCAAGTTTTTATTTGTATTGATGAAAGTAAACAAGTGAGTCTACGTCTTGATTTGTTGATAAACTCATTTCTAAACAAATTTTCTATTGGTATTACGGGAAAAATTATGGACTATTTTCCCACTCAAGATTTTGATGCCACCATACAAGCAACATTAGGAGTCTACACTCAGAAACAAAGTGGTATTAACTGTTAATTAAACCACTATCTTTGTGGTTAAAACTATAGACAAAAACAAGTTTTTCAGCTTCCCTACCGTGTTTACGCCATTGATTACATGAATAATTAAACTCCACAAATTTTGCATTTTCACTGAGCATACTTCAAAGCCATATATTAAAAAGAAAGCCTTCTGAAGCTTAGTGTTTCAAACTATTGATAGGTTTTCAAACATCGCATCAGCCATCTGTTGAAAGCATAAGTTTCGTCACTCATCTGCCTAGAAAAGGTGACAAACTGAGTGTCTTTGATGCACCCCACTGCTACACCTACTAATCCTCGGTGAAATTCTAAAACACTACAAAGTTGAAGGTGGAGCTTTCATTTGATTATGAAAAAGATCTTAACTTGAAAAGGTATATAAATATCCAGGAATATTAGTTAATCGTCATATGATTTGATATGAAGCACACAGTTTGTAATTTTACCGTAAACAGACAAAGAATCACCGCACACTTGTTTAACCGAATATAGAAGTTGACTTAAGATGTTGAAGAACTCTGTGTTCAGTCTAGATAGCATCTGTGTGTTAAACTTCTGTGTCATCCTTTTTTTATTCCTTCACGTTCCCAGTGGAACATAGGGCTTCAAGCTAGAGACTTGACGTTTCTGTAGCAGTGTTTAATTTTACAGGATGTGGTTGCTAGTCTCATGCCCAGCCTTCCCTCTGTACCAGCCTTATTTCTGGCTTAGCGAAGCGAAGGGGTGCGTCCAGTTGCCGGGGATCGAACCCCGGACCATGTGCATGGTCGGCGAATGTCCTAACCGCTGTGCCACCGATACACAGTCATCTACTTAAACAGAGAAATAGGTAAATCCACAAGGTGACAAAACAAACTGGTGACTATGTTTGAGATCATTGGCAGCAATAAACACAATTTCATACTGATAAACATTAAATTTAGAGAGAATAGTGAAATAAAAAAGATTATCTGAAATATTTGATGTATTAACGCCTTACATTTCGAGTCAATCGATCACATTCTTGAATTTATTGAATTGTTTATGTGAAAATTTGAAAGGTGAACAAAGTCAGTCAAGAATATATAAGTGAGATAGATAATAAGGGCAGAAAGGATTCTGGTGGAGAACGTGACTAATAATCCAATGCATAGAAGTGACAAACACTCACTATTCTTAATAGTAGAACAAATATATTGGGAAATGATCATAAAAATGACTTGTGAATCGGTGAAAGCACTGTGAACAGAAATGGCTAAATATGAATTTTTAAAACACCAAGAGGACCTCGTTCTTTGTGAATTCCAAACATCCTCAATAAATCCTAAATCAATATGTACTCAAATTAAGTGTTCCATGGTTACATGGGCTTAATTTTATTGATAGTATGATTCTGATTTCCTTGTGAAACTAGAGAATGAGTATTTAAAAGATGTAATTGATGAACTAGAATCCCGCTGTCGGTACGTGGATGATACACTTTTGATTATTCCAAATGAGGGTGAAGCAAAGAACATCATGGACAAAATCTGATGATGTTCATCCTGCAATAAATTTTGTCATCAAGAAAGAAAGGGACTGTAGTCTTTCAGTTTTAGACATGCTTATTACTAGAAAAGAGGATGGTATAATAAAAAGAAGTGTATGTAGAATACTTACATCAACTTGTCAGTATACTCATTTTTTCAGCTTCGTGTCTTTGAAATACAAACGCAATCTGATAAAGTACCTGGTCCACAGAGCAAGAGCAATCTGCTTTAATGAATGTCTTGACGAAGAGCTTAATAGTATTAAGCGGTTGCTAAGTTAGAACGTTTTTCAGAAAAATTCATCGATAGGAATATGAATCAAAAATTAAGGCAGCTCAAGGTACCAACAGTTCCTAAAGAGGCATTATTATTACAAATTCAGTTACTTGGGGATGAAATCAGTGAGTTATTAATACAACGCCTTAGAAATGCATTAATAAGAGCATTTAGTACTGATGAATCACACTATCTTCAAAACCAGTCCCTTTTTACGTTCGCAAGTTTGACTGCTCCCGTTGAGGCAGTTACATAGGCCATACAATTAAATGCGTTTCCTGTCAGATTTCCAAACATCGCCCTGCCTGGTTAAGTGAGAGACAAACAAAATCCATTCATAGCTCTATTCTATCACATCTTGTGGACACAGAACACAAGATTGATGTCAACGAGGCTTTCAAATTCATCTAACGCATACCAACGAATCTTAACTTTACCTTAAGAGTTCGTCTATTAAATAATGCTGAAGCTGTTGGGATATACATTAAGAAGCCTAACTTAATATCCAAAAGAAGTTGGTTGTGACACTATCCTTACCTTCAGTTTATTTGATATTCTATTTGCTATTATTTTTATGCGTATTATAATTTATGCATTTTAGTGAACTGTAATTCCATCGGTCTTGACAAATCGATATTATTTTTTTTTAAAACACCACTATTGCTATTGACGACTATTCTAGAATATTCTGTGTACATAAACATACATATGTATAACTGTAGAGCCAGAAGAGGAGATTATCAAAAAGATATTCTTTGCTCAAGTTATATTTTTTTGTTTTTTCTTGATATCTGAATGAATACTTACACTATATTAAAATTTTATTGAATTATTTGAGTTTCATTGAAAAAAAGCAATCAAACAAGTTCAACTGTGTGATCCGTTCGGTCAGAATTTAAAGCCCCAAATGTATCACATGCTTCAGTGAATCTTTGTCATTTCATTTCATAGTCTATCAAAATTTATCAAAAAGGACAAACTGTTTCAAACGTTTTGCTGAAAAAAATGACATAGTAAAACATTCAGTTTGGTTGAAGAGTTAATATTAACGTTGGTAACGTAATAATACGATTATTACTTTAGACTACGCGCAATCAGTCGTTCTAAAATACTTTATCTGCAATAAGCATATTGATGAGTAGATGTTAATAGCAATTTTACAATTGATGGGTTATAAAAACCATAGGCATTAGGCAAACGATATAAAATAAATTGTAGTTTTCAGAAAATAAAAAGAAACGAAGTAGTTTTAATGACATTTCATCATTTAATGTTTTTATAGCTTTATCAGATTACTATTAGACTAGAGATTTTGAACTCCCAGCTTGTTTGGAATAAATATATCTATATATATGTGAATGCATATACGTATACGTATTATAGCCTCACTGGTTCAGTTGTGAAATACCAATCAAACACTCATGTGATCTGAATATCATTCCTTGCTGGCTCAGTCCCGAAACTCGTTTAGTCGGCAATATGTCCGCTAAAAAGGAAAGGTTGAAGTTGAGGCTAGCAACTTTACCACGTATAGACGATGCTAATGTGGTGAGAGTAGGCTGCTAGCCAATTGGTAGACATTGATTTACGTCAATGTCTAGGTCGTTAATATTGGCAGTGAGAAAATATGAACAAGACTGATTCAACAACCAATCACAGCAGACTTAGCGTGGGCAAATACGATTCGCGGATATGTGGCTTAACTTTCTGAGAAACCAGGCACAAGCAGTACAGAATAACGTTGAGCAAGAAACAACCAATCAGAAGACTGTGTTTATCTGCTTGAATAAGCTATAATAATGTACATGAAATATATATAAATACGTGCTGATTTCCGTAATAAACGATCTGTTGCGTGGCCCTTGTCTTCTGTTGTTACACTATCACTACTGAAAGTACCGAGTACAAGCTTGAATCCCTATGTTTCACTCAGAATGCAGAGAAATAAAAATGGCATATGATTAGTCAACCGAGTATTTGTCCAAACGAAGTAATTCTTAATTATCGAATGAATTTAGCAGAATGATGACTGCTGTGTACCACGATTTCGGATTTGTTGTCTCCATACATGTCATACGCATCAGTCAGGATTAGAGGAGTATTCAGTTAATTCAACATTCACGTATCTTATGAGCATAGGATATCTCTTTATCCTTTCGATAAAGTATGAAAAGCCAAATTTGCAGTATACAACATACAGGTGAATGTATAATTTAATGTATATATATATACATATATATATAGAAAAATAGAAGGTGTAGCAATGGGATCACCAATATCTCCTATCGTATCGGATATATTTATGGACAGCTGGGAAAATATGGCTCTTAATACATTTAATTCTTCTCCAAAAATATGGTGGAGATATGTGGATGACACTTTCACAGTGTTAAAAATAGGACATATCTCTAGCTTCTTGACACATATAAATTCACAAGGAGAGGGAATAAAATTCACACTTGAAGCCGAAAATGAACAAGGAGAATTAGCTATGTTACATTGTAAGATGAAACGAATAGAAGGCAAACTACACATTAGTGTGTACAGAAAACCAACGCATTCTTATAGATATTTAGACTTTAATTCATCTCATCCGTTAACTGTTAAGACAGGCTTAGTTAAGTGCTTAACAAAACCGGGCAATAGCACTAAGTAGCACAAAAAAAGACCTAAATGATGAAATAAAACAGATAGAAGAGGTTTTGGTGTCAAATAACTATCGTATAAAATTCATTAGGAAGATTGAAAAAGGCCAAAAGCAAAATAAAAATAATTGTGAAACTAGTAGTGATAACATAAATAAGAGAGAATATAAGGCATCCACCGTTATACCACATAAGGAGAGGACATCTGAGACCCCACGTAGGATTCTAAATAAAGCAGGAGTTAGGGTGACATTTAAACCTACAAACTCACTTAGAGAAAAGCTTTGTAGGCTTAAAGACCCGGTGGACCTAATTAAACAAAATAATATAATTTGGTTACAGGATTTCATCATGAGCTGACACAAGTTAGAGAACCATTGGAAAACCTGTGAGTACTGGACAGC